CATACGCGCTAAACAACAAATTCAAGATAATCTTATTAGTGCAATGCGCGCAATGAATTACTGCCCTGAGGACACGGGCAGCACTGGGCCTTACGCCCAACTTACTCCCAACTCCCAACTAACCCTCTTACTTAACGCAAGCTCGCATAAGTTGTTGCGTCAGAGACAAATGCCAAAGGAGAAGATACCCCCTCTAACGGTTGAAATACTGAACCACCACGGCGCTTCGTGCCGAGCCGCAAGAGGGCCAAAGACGTGAGAGCTGCCAGACAGGCGCGCACACCGAAACTCCTGAAGCCAAACGCCTCGAAAGACCTCCGAACGACACCCCAGCAGCAGGGGCGGCGGACGCGCCACCTCTACGCAGGCAAAAGAGGGAACAAAATAAACGCAAAGCGCCAACAGACTGACCCACCGCCACCGACGCGACGGATCACTCAACAGTTGCTGACGGACGCCCACTGAAGGAAGGGTCGATAGGAAGCCAAAACATGTCCCCGCTCAGGGGTGACCAAGCGGCCAAAACTAGGGGCTTGAACTGAAACACTGGGTCTGCAACAATGACCGCTCCACGAACCCAGGTCGCCGACAGCAGAGAAAACGGACAAAGAAAAGACACAGACCTAATACGACAAACAACAAACACAAGGCCGCGAAATGGAGACACACGAACCCATTCAGCGCCAAAAGAAGTACTCGAACTTAGTCCAGAACCAGCGGTGTTGGAACCGGCGGTACCATCGGATATCAAACAAAGCGAAACCGCTCCGAAATCAGGGGAATTCCAATCGCTGGTGACACAACACGATGAAAAAACCAACTACCTGCACGGTGCCTTCCGAGCGCACACCTTCGCACAACAAATTCCTTCCTATTTGCTCGTCGTAACTGCGTGTCCGCTCCCCTGCACAATATGCAACTAAGGCGCTACCTTATTGGGGGTCCCATTGCCCCTACAAGATATTATGAGCCCCCAGGGGGGGGGCATGAAATGCTAGGAAAGCGCACCTCGGGGGCACACGACCCCGCAATTGCAGCGCCACACTGACCGACCGAGTGCTAAGCAAAGCACCCACAAGACGACTGCACCCGCACTGCCAGACCTGCCAGGAAGGGGGGGAGATAGGTGCTCGACCCTCCCTCATCCGGCACAAACAGCTCCGTATTCGAAGGCAGGAACACAAGGTCAACCGCCAACTCCATAAACTGTTGCCACCAAGGTTGGGCCGTCCAGTACGGCACGACTAGGAAAGACACCCTAGCACTGCTTGAGTGCACGTGTTTTCCACACTGATTAAGACAACACGCTGCTGAAAGAACGGAAGAAAGGACTCTAATGCAGGATGGACAGCATGCAACTCCTTCCAACTGACGTGTCATAGAGCTCTGGTGCCGACCAATAACCGCGCGCCACACCATCATGCAGGACCGCGCCCCACGAATGGCGCGATGCATCCACTGAAAGCTCAACTTCAGCAGGACCCTGGTGAATAGCCGCCGAGCACTGGTGGGTAGGGATGTCCGCCCACCACCCAAAGTCACGTAACGACCCACGGGGCAAGCACACTCGACCAGGATAACCAACCGGTTGCTTCACATCATCGTAACAATTGCGGAGAAATAAGAGAGCTGGAGTAAGGGCCAATTTGATGCTCTGTGCAAAACTACAAAACTTAGCCAGCTCGCACTTCTGCACCAGACGCTGATTTTTCTTTGCCGTGATCCGCAACCCGATCGCCAGCCACCACAATTTTGCGAGCTTTTGCTTAGGCACCTCAAACACACCAGCTGCTGTATTGACAGTAATGCCTAAGTGATACACTGACTGCGACGGCTCCCACTGGCACTTGGTGGGATGACATGACAAACCCAAAAACTCGATCATCTCACGCACCCAGCGTGCACAAAAACGTGCTTGCTCCTGGGAAGTAAACATGATTAGGAAATCATCCAAATACGGTAGTACTCGCGCACCCGGACGTGAAGGACGCTCTGTCTGGGAAACGGGAAAAAACTTGTGGGCCGAGAGCAAGGGGCGAGGGACACTTGTGACCCTTGCCCGCCGCAGCCAAAGAATCCCGCCAAATACGCAGCACATTGTGCATGTACTGCTGAAGAGACGGTGTCTCTCTGGGACCTAGCAGACACGGCCAAGAGTAATTGGCCGTTACACGTAGTCGGGAGGTCCGCGACCTGCCACCGATAGCCCCTTGCTTGGGCGTAAACATATTGAGTCTGAGGTGCTGTTACCGACACACAGCAGGGGCTTTAAGGTAGCCTGTCCTGACGGGCGGCCTGTCAGTATTCTAGCACCTTGACAGCCGCCAGTCATAACAGCCTGACGTGGGGCCTTTCGCAGGCCACGGGGCGACATGGCACACCCCCTTCACACCAACATGCCCCCTCGAGTCGCACCAGGGGCCTGACTGCAAACTGCTAGTACTGACGAGCTCGCTCGGCCGCCAAGTCCGCGGTCCAGGCCGGCTGCTCAACGCTCAGCAGACACAATCGCAGCTTGCCAGCCTTCAGCCTGCTGGCTTTGCGGTCTGGTGCCGCAGTCCAAACACACACAGAAAACAGCACGGCACAGCACCTTATGCCCTGCCTACGGCGCCCTTCGGGCACTAACCTGCCCATTCGGGCGCCTGCCCACGCGCCCTTGGTGCCCCCCTACCTCGACACACTTCTTTTGAGCCCTCAGCATTTTTCCACTCCCCCCTCGCATGGTGCTCTGTCGATCTAAGTGACGCCCAGCACCGTGCGGCAGTGCACGAACTTGATTTCACCCAGTGCCTTGGTGAGAATGTCAGCCACCGTGTTGTTGGTGGTACAATAGCTGAGCTTAACCTCACCGCGCACGGCCGTTTCACGCATGATGTGGTGGTGCAGATCGATATGCTTGGAGCGCACCAACGTGATGGGGTTGTTGCCGAGGCTGAGCGCGCCTTGTGAATCCAGCTGGATGTTGATGGCGCCGGGTCGCCCGCCAGCTTGCGCAGCCACATAGTGCCTCGTGCACGGCTGCTGCGGCGGCCTGGTACTCGGCCTCGAGGCAGCCAAGGTGCGCTGCAACTGGCTGCTCCAGCTGACCGCTGCACTGCCGAGCAAGAATGTGTAGCCCGTGGTGGACCGGCGGGTGGCTGGGTCGCCGGCCCAGTCCGCATCACTGTACCCGCCGAAGTTGCTGGTGTCGCTGCTGCTGTCGCCACGGTATCGCAGCCCGAGTGTGCAGGTGCCGGATAGGTAGCGCATCATGCCCAGCACGAGGCCCATGTGGGCCTTGGTGGGGACGGGCATGTGTCACACGAGCATGCTCAGAGTGTGTGTAATGTCCGGGCGTGTGCTGCTGGTAGGTATTTCAGCTCGCCCACCAGCACACGGTAGTCGCTGCCATCAATCACTGTCGGCTGGGCGTCGCTGGCTGGCAGAGCACACATGCCCTGAGGCAGCAGGGTGGCGCGCGGCTTGGCATTCTCCAGGCTGTGGCGCTGCAGCAGCTGCTCCACATAGCGCTGCTGCGTGAGCACGATGCAGCGGTTGCGGCCATCCTGGACGATCTTCATGCCAAGGTAGTAGTGCGCCTCGCCAAGGTCACGCACTGTGAAGCAACCGGCGATGGCTGCCTTGGTGGCCGCGACCACTTGCAGGTTGTCCGCCGTCACCAGCATGTCGTTGGCAGTGTGCTCTGCACTGTTGCCTCCGCCGCCGCCACTGCCATCGGGCACGTTAGACTTCGCGCTGTCAGCGCTACCACCTGAGCAGCGGTGGACTTCCCGACTCTCTGCCGCCGCCGCTGCTGCTGCTGTCAAGGGGGGGGGGGTCACTGACCGGGGCCAGCGGGAGTGTGCAGGGACTGCCGTTGACTGCGGGTGTTGGGGTGGAGGGTTGGTGTTGGGGTCACCGGAGGTGGGGCGGCCGCTGGGGTCGGCAGCTTGGTGGGCGGTGTAGAGCTGCCGATGGGGTTGCTGCCGCCGGGGCAGGCGGGGCTAGTGCCGAAGGGGGTGCCCGCCCGTTGTGAACCGGGCTGTGGCGGTCGTCATTGAAGGTGACATCGCTGCTCACGGTCACCTTGCCCTCAATGAGGATGCTGTGGGCGGCCGTGCCGTGCTCCGGTCGGCGGTAGGTTTCCGCCTTTGCACGAGGACCGAGTTTGTCCTGCTGGCTGGGTGGGATGCGGACGTAGGCCAGGCAGCTGAAGGTGTGCAGGTGGCTGACGTCGGGGGGGAAGCCGTGATTAGCTGCCCACGGCGTGGCCTCCCGGCCCTGAGAGGGGGAAACATTGCGCAGGAGGTTGGTGTAGAGCACAGCCCCCGGCTTGTAGCTGCCCGGGAGTGCTGCGTCGTGCAGCATCGTCCGCACACGGCCGAGGAGCATGTGGTTGAGTCACTCCACCACTCCATTCTGCTCCGGGGTGTATGATGCCGAGTGGGTGTGCACGGTGCCGTGCTGGCGCAGCCACTGCCGCAGTTGCTCGGTGATGTACTCACCGCGTTTGTCGCTGTGCAGCATGTGCACCCGTGCATGGTTCAGGTGGTGGGCCTCCAGCTGCGTCACCATGTCCTGCAGCACTTCACCCACTTGGCCTTTGCTTGCCAGCGTGCGGACGGCGGACAGACTGGTGGCACCGTCCAGCAGCATCAGCAAGTAGCGTGCGCCCCCTCGGCCCATGGTCGGCATGGGCCCGCACAGGTCAGAGTGTACGACCTCCAGTGCGTGCTGCGGCCGGTTGCTGCGGCTGGGATGGGCGGTTACGGTGGCCTTCATGGTGACACAGGCCTCGCAGACGGTCTCCGCCGCCTGGTGTAGTGCTGCTGGAGTGACCTGTGGTCCCTGCACCAGCTACTTGCTGATCAGCTGCTCCAGCACGCGGAAACCGAGGTGACCGTACTGGCGGTGCAGGCGCTGTGCTGCCGCAAGTTTGGCGACTGAGCATTCGGCGGCCCCGGGGCTGCCGTTGCCTGGTTGCCCTTTGCCGTTGCTGTCACCGTCCGGCTGGCCTCCACCAGTGTGGCTGCCGGCGGTGCTGCCGCCACGGGCGCTGGGGACAGCGGCGGCACTTCCACCAGCACTGCTAACTGCGGCATGGCCCCCACCGGCTCTGTCGCCCACGGTGCCGAGGGCATTGACGGTGACGTCGGTCGGCGCCTGCAGGTCCACGTCCATGTGTAGTGCCCACACTCATTCCATGCAGTGATAGCCGGGCTGTTGTGAGGGAGGCCGATGCATGAGAACCAGCAGCCCGTCTTGTCCGTGCTGAATGTGCCTATGCAGCTGCGTGTCACGAGAAAGTTGACAGATGTTAGGATGAGGCCCGAGCTGGGGACGTGCAGCATGTTGTGCAGCCGGACATTGTGTCCATCACGTGTACGCAGGTGCAGCTGCGCTGTTCCCATGACATCGGCCAGCTGGTTGTTGCCCCACTCGATCAGCCGTGGCGCGCCGGCGGGGACGTGGTTGTGCAGCAGGGAGTGGTCACCCGTGAGGTGGTACGGTGAGCCTGAGTCGAGGATGACTCGTGAGCTGCTGCCACTGCCGTCGATGACCAGCACTGTGGCACGGCTCTGGCGTGAGCTGCTTCCGCTGCTGCCCGAACCGCTGCCACTGCTGCCGCCTGCAGTGTTGCCGCCGTTGCGGTGGCTGTTGCCGCATCAAGCACGGCCGCGTTCACGTGTTCCGTCGGCCCCGCTGTTACCGTCATTGCCGCTGCCAGTGTCCCTGCCGCCGCCGTCACAGTGGCGGTTGCGGCTGCCTCAACTGATGTTGCCGGCGGCGTGCAGCTGCTCGAATGCGTTGCTGTGGTGAAGGCCGACGGACTCGTCCGCCTGCTTAACGGGGCACTCGCAAATGTAGTAACCAGGCTGTCCGCAGTAGCGGCAGGTGTCGCCGGCCCCCACGGCGCCTGCAGCACTGGCGGTGCTGCCGACTCCACTGGTGGCACGGCCAGGGCCGACAGCTCCCACCAGGCTGGTCTTGCTTGCTTGGGTCTTGAGGTTGTTGTCCTTCTCCTGCAGCATGAGCACGAGCTGTGGGGTCGTTAAGTTGGGCTGATACATCGTGAACTCGATGGTGATGGCGTACTGCAGAGGCAGGCCATGGAGAATGGCGTGGCGCACCGTGCTCTCGTCCCACTGGCCGCCGGCCACAATTATATCGCTACAGAGCTGCTCTGCCCGCTAAATGAAGTCAGCGGTTGTCTCCCCATCACGCATGTTCAGCTGCATCTGCGGCTCAACCAGGCTCAGCCGGGCCTGGGATGCAGAACGGAACTGTTGCTGTAAGAGCTGCATGGCGGCGAGACCGGTTGGGCAATTCATGAGCAACTGCTTGATGGGCAGTTCACAGGACAGACGCAGGTAGCTGAGCGCCTGTGCGTCCTCCTCCAGGGCGTCTTGGGAGTTGCGGCTCGGAGGCGACGGGTTGTTGATGTAGCTCTTCAACTTGGATGTTGCGAGGAAATCGCCTAACTCGCCGAGCCTGTGGGAGTAGTTCGACCCATCCCAGAGGATGACGGTCTTACATCCCTTCCCCATGATGGTTGGCTAGCGAGCGTGACTGATGATGACGCGTTCCCCGCCGCTTTTCTGGCAACTAGTTGATGTTATGATGCATCGTTGGTCCGGCGTACGACGGCTCCTGGTGCGATTTATGCGTCCGGAAGCCCTTTCAGCCTCCCAGGCATGTCCCAACTGCCTCACAGCCACCGACGCATCTCACGGCGGGGTTCTAATTGCGTGCGCGTATGGATGCTCCTTACCCCGCCGCCTTTCTAGCAACTAGTTGATGTTATGATGCATCGTTGGGCCGGCGTACGACGGCGCCTGGTGCGATTTATACGTCCGGAAGCCCTTTCAGCCTCCCAGGCATGTCCCAACTGCCTCACAGCCACCGACGCATCTCACGGCGGGGTTCTAATTGCGTGCGCGTATGGATGCTCCT